CAGCCCAGCCGCGCTGCGGCTGTCCCGCTGCCCGCATGCTTTGCGGCTTCGCTCCCCGTCTCCCTGGTCTGCTGGTCTCTAGCAGACTAGGGAGACGGGGAGCAAAGCCACGGAGCACGCGGGCAGCGGACAGACCAGACGTGGAGCCGGGTAAATGCTCCACAGACCAGCAGACCAGGGAGACGCGGAGCAAACCCCGTTCGTAACTGCGGATCCGACATAAGTCGGATCAGCGTAACTCGGGGACTGCCTGTATAAGAGAGCATAATATACAGATAAGGAATTCCTGTCTTGGAGCAGAGAACCTGCCCAAAGGCCACTGGAAAAAAATGAGAACCCACAAGTTGGTTTATTTTCATACTGAATCACAGTTTACTCAGATACACCATATATAGGCCCATGGTAGGATGAGTGTACAATCAGGCAGGGATCATCTCCGCTCCATGTTCACTGTAACAATGTTTTCTGTGCCAACCCAGCTTGGAGGGCAGTGATGGAACAGGTAAAGATAGAGTCCAGGGATTCTCCATTTATAAAGAAGCAAAAGCTACAACAGACTGGTAGTGAAGTGCCATGGCTACTATTTGAGCCCATATATTGGAGCAGCAATTGTGGCAGGATGGTTGTTTTGAAGCTGTGTTCCTTAGACCCAGATCAGGGGTGGATCTCTTTTCCCTGTCCCACCTTTCTCCCATTGAGCTACCTGAGCTTTGTCTGGGTGAATGTGATTTAATTTTATATTGCCAACTGGGTATTTTTGTAGTTTCCTCTATGAAAATGTGACAGACTAAGACTAAAAAACAGACTTCAATGAGCTCTTCATTAAATGCACATAGAGGCAGGCGAGTCCCTCAATCTAGGGAATAGAACCTTTGTTGAGATACTCATTTTTCCATTTTAATTTCTTGAATTTCCTTTGCAGCTTTCTTTGGGCCCATTACAACCCCCAGACAGGATGTGCATGAAATGCAGATTGGTTCCATTATATTCCAAATAGCAAGTGGAGACATTACCAAGGAAAAAGTAGACGTCATTGTAAACATTTCAAATAAATTGTTTAACCTCAAAGCAGGTACTTTATCTAGTGAATAAGATCAATTAGAGTAATTTAAGTGTATGTGTAATAGGATGCGGGAAGAATTTTCAGTAAATACAAGCCATTTTTTTTAATTCCTTGTGCGTTGGCATTTTCAAACTAGTAAAACTGTACTAGGAAGTCTTAGTATTGTATTTGTAACAAATTATTTCAAAATACAGTTTGCTCCAGTGTTTAGAAAAATCTTATAGAATGCCACAAAATATGAGAATCTTTCTCTAGAATGTTTAAACTTCCCTGTACAATTCTATAGGAGGGATATTGTTTATCGGTTACATTCTGTGGAATAGGGTAGCTGCCTCCATGTACCCCTCCATAACTGGGTGGCTCTGTGGTACCTACTAATAATTTCTCCCTCAGAGGGCTTTTGAAACAAACTCCACACAGACATTTCTGATCCATTCACCACCCCTTCACAGGGTATCCAAGTTTATTCATCTAAATGAAGGAGTTCCAAAATGCAGTCCATCTGTTTTAGCCTTTCGTCAGATTGTTCCCAAACTTTTCCTGCCTGTAGCCTCAGTAGGGAAGCCTTAAATCCCAAGTCTTTCTCCTGGAGGCTGCTCGCTCCCAGCAATTTCCACTTCACTCTACAGGCCTTCCTGCCAGAGGCCTTTCCCACTTTGGCAAGCTGTTCCCAGGCTTGATCTAGCTGGAGCTTCCAATTTGTGGCTCTCGCTTCCAAACCCTCTTGGGATTAGGTTAATCTCTTTCTTATTTCCTGTAGTTTCTTGAGTTTCCTCATTCAATGCAGCCACTTGCTGCCTAAATTGGGAGTTGTTTAATCCACCCTAGTGTGTGCTTTTTAATAATAAGGGCTCACTGGTCGTAGGCTCTCCAGCCCTCAAGAAGCAAGCTATTGTGACCCAGTTATCCGCATAAGGTTTAAACATTCCATAGAAAGTAAATCTTTCTCTTTTACATATGATAAACTTTAATTTTATGTTGAAACCTATTGGTTTTATCCCTATTAAAATGTATAGGCATTATCTATAAAGAAGCAACAGTTTTTGCCCATTGGGAACTGTTGGGTATTCTGCACTTTTGAAGAACAGGTAGATGCCTTAAGAGGCATCCGATGTAGGCTTCTATTAAAGAAACCAAACAAACAAAATTTAGCCTCTTCTATTGCCAGAAGTGAGAGAGAGTGGGTGCTTACTCCTGTTAACCTAGGTGAGACTAACAGTACAATCAATGTGACTTGTCAAACTAATATGGGTTTTCTTATTTAAGGTGTCTCCAAGGCAATTCTAGAAAGTGCTGGACCACAGGTTGAAGCAGAATGTGCTGAGCTAGGTATAAAAATGGTATTTTTGATCTACTTTCTAGAGGCACTGAGCACCTCCAGTTTCCACTAAAGGCAGTGGGAGCGATGGGTGCATGCCACTGCTGAAAATTAACCCGCTATTGTACTTGCATTTATCCATGATTTCACAACGCCTTCATTAATATGATGCTTGTAAAACATCTTCAGAGATGTTAAAGTATAAAGCAAAATCCTTAAAAGATTCTGTGCCAGCACAGAAGTAAATTAAAAGTATCTTCTTAACTCTATATCTCCATGGTCCCCAACACGGTGCCCGCGGGGCATTTCTCGGCGCCCGCCAAGTGCTCAGGGCTGGCTTGGCCCCGGGCACGTGGTGCATATGTGGTGCCGGAGCCGCCCTGGGCGCGTGGCGCACTGTGAGCACCGGCCCCGGGGGCGCCGCGGATTCACCCCCCGCGGCGCATGGGGGGGGGAGAAAGCGCC